AACATTTTTTCGGCAGTGTGAGAAAAAAACGTGTATTGACAGTGTACTAGAACAACAACTTGGGGATAGTGTGGTGGTCATCGTACACATGCGATTAAATATTGGCGATTCATTCCAAAAGTTAATTGTCGTGATACTTTATTTACTGGGAGTCAGCAGAAGCTCAGATCTGTCTCTCTTTTTTTTTTTTTTATCAGCGGAGGCTCAGATCTATTTTTTTTTCGCTCAATTTAAAAGCAACCAATACGTCGTCATGAACTCTCCGAGTTCGAAATGGACAACCAATACATTGTCATGAACTCTCCGAGTTCGAAATGGATTTATCGGGAATCAAAAGTGAAGAATTGCCAAACCGTTGAGTCAACCTAATGGCCTTAATGTTTGCAAATGGTGTTAAAATGTGACATATATTCATATTTATATTGTTAACTGTTATTTCTATTTATTGTAAAGTAATTTTTAAGGTCTATCTGATAAATGTTTCACATTATGTGGCTAACGTAGTGCAGCCTTCTGACTGGGACATGCTGCTCCTCCACATTGGCCTTGCTGAAGACCTCGTCTTCAGTATTTGTTGATGGTGAAGTTTGTAATAAAAGAACCTGAAAATGACAGATTTTCCTTTGCGTTTCCTTCATGTTTGTCTTCCTGTAACAGCAACAATGTTTTGTTTTGTTTTTAACTTCACATGAAGCTCATTACTCTCCGCGGTTAAGATTTTTCACCTTGCTGCCCAGTGAGGCAGTGGTCATCCACCACTGCCCTCGGCTTTGTTTTGTCCTCAGGGATCCAGGCAATTAGACCAGGAAGGGTTGGTGGTTTAACATCTGTCCTAGCATTTCATACACGGGCGAAAAAACCACCAGTGAAACACAACACCGTACAACAACAACAAACGACAACAAACAAAAGAATGAAACTTCGTTTATATCCTACATTAGGGTTGGAATAAACATCATATATGGAAAAATAAATGTAATACCAGTGTAAAACACTGAAAGTTTTTTCAGTCTAATATGATGCAAGTAAATGCATTTATTTGCTTCCTAAAACATTGTTTTGCAAAATTAAAGGCAAAAGTGCAAACACTTTTACAGCTTCAAAATGAGATATATATATACTGTATATATAAGTGATTTATTAAATTAACAAAATTTGACTTAAATGTGGAAAAAAATTAAGAACATCACATTAACAGAATTTGCACATACAGAGAATATATTGATTACTATGGACACATGATCAACTTAATTTAGAGACAACGCCCAATAAATCACCTTTAAACACTTTGTGGAACTACACGCTTCTATTCACAATATCATGAACATATGGAACTTTAATGGCAGCGACAGACAACCCTATTTTATATCCTATATTATACATTTATATTTTGTATATTTATTTATATATTTATATTATATATATATATTTTGTAAATATATTTAAGTTTTTTAATTTGTTTCTCATATGAGAAAAATATTTTCTCATGTTGTTTTTCTTTTCAGATTTTTGTTACCTGTGTTCATCAGCTCTCTGATTTTCTTTGGCTCCTGATCACCTGCTCCTCAGCAGTCATTGTCCTCACCTGTGTTCTCCCACAGGTGAGGACAATCAGTGTGTGGGGGAGGTTATAAAGAGGAGCTGTGCTGCACTGCTTAGTTGGCTGTTAGACATGGGAGAGTCGACATGGTCATGTCGCTCTGCTGGGGATTTGGGGAGGAAGAGTTTTATTTGAATGTATGTTTGCGGTTGTTTTGTTTTGTTTTTTCATTTTTTTCAATGCATTTTGACGCTGTGGTGTTTGAGATTATATGTTTAGTTTATCATATGTTTGTTTCCCAACTTAGTTCTGAAAGAGAGCGTGGTTGAAAGGAAGTTTACCAGAAACTACTTGGGCTCAAGTCTATTTTAAAATCCCTAAAATGACTTCATTAGATAAAGCTGACGTTGACGTCACATGTCCTGTTGAAATCATCAGATGACGCACCAGGACTTGGAAAACACGAATATGTTAAAATATACACTGTGAAGTAATAAACAGCTGTGATTGGTGTTGGAAAGAGACGGCTCTGAAATGAGCACCAGCATGAATATATGCAAAGCTTCATAAATGGAATGACAAACGTGTGACAGGTTGACAGTCAATATGTAGTAATGTCATTTCCTAGCATTCCCACCATGTGATTCGGAGCCCGAATTACAAACGGGAGTGGAATGTGTTTTATTCATGGTATTTCCGATGGCTAAAAGTCATGTGACAATTCAAGAAAATATAGCCAAATATCAGGAAACACTATGTTACAATGACTTCTTGTCCGTTACTGTAACTGTTTATAGGAATTTCTTCAATTCCTGCCAGTATATCAGTGTTGTGTTCAACTAAATAGGCTTTTGTAAATCGGGACTTAATTTACTCTTTCTGACATTTGTGTTTAAAAACGTCTGATGAAAAATGCATCTAGTCGCTCTAGAAAGATTGGCAAACATGGCCTCACCCTTTTGAGGGCCTAGAACCTTATGTTGATGGGGTCGGGAGGTATAGATTATTTGATATTTGCTGTGTTAAATCAAGTGCTTCATGACCCCGGGAGTCAGGTAAAGCCGGGCGTCATGTGACTTGATCATCTGAGAATGACTGATCACGATATCTTCATGCATTATATATATATATATATAGAGAGAGAGAGAGAGTCTATAGGAATGTACGTTCAAAGCAGGCTCCGCCCACCCTGTTTCTATTATTCTTCTGTTTGAATGGCACTGAATATCACACCACACATTCAGAGAGAATGTTTACACGATCGGAGATAAGATTTCTGTAGTAGTGGTGACATTCGAGCCACAGATCGTAACGTGAGGAGAATCCTGCAGGAAACGACTGCTACTGATCAG